TTTGCAACAAAGAGAAAAACGGAATTGCATTAACATTTCATTAATGCGTTTTTGGTGGCTGGTTCATCTAGCAACAATAGGGAATACTAGGAAAAACTTGAAGTTTTCTATGAATCTAATGCTGGTAAGGTAGATTTCTTGGCTGGATCTTAAGTGGGAAAAGACCGGTTAGTACAAGATTGTCTATGGTAGGTGGCGTACAAGATACTTTTGTGTTCTCTTAATTTCTTACGTCATTTTTGAAATAGTAATTCCTTGGATTTTGCACGATTTCAAGCAATTATAGTTATTCCAAAAAACACTGAGTGATTTTATTATTAAACGTAATTAACACAGAGTTGTAAATTTAATTCTCGGCATTTTTCTAATGATATATAAGATATTTCACAACATTATAAATTTACCTCTCTACATTTCTCTTGTTACAGTACAAAATGTTAACCTCGAAGAAATTCTAATACAGACGAAGAACTATAAGCGACCAAACAAGGCTCGTTTCCAAATTTGCCAAGACATCTCAACATATTCAATATCGAGACACTTCTCACCCACTAGAAACAAACTTTAAGAAACAGAAAAGAGAGAAAAAATAAAATAAAATCACGAAGCTGAAAGCATATAATAAATCTTACAAGGGCTATCTCTTAAAGTTCATCCCTCGTTACATTCTCCCAAAACATTAAAGGGGAACGAAAATGAGCAAAAATTTGAAGAATCAATCGAAACATCTCTTGATAGCGTTTGAATTTTTCGATTGTCCGAAAAAGAAGGAGAGGTTAAAAAGTGAAAAAGTTATACCTCCAAGTTCCTTCCGCGTGTGTTCACATTTTTAACGTTAATACAGTTTGCAACGAAGAAGCGAGAGGGGTGTTGCTCCAAGATTGATATCTTCGTAACACGATTATCAGCGAAGGCGTAGACGTAGCCAGTCAAAAGTAGCAAGCAGAGACGGGAGGGTTGTCACCCTTGTCTCTCCCCGAGCAGCGTGAGAAGCCAGCCATCTTGAATGATGTATGGCGCCGGTTACGAGGTCGACTGAGCGGCCATCACTCAACGCTGAGCTCCACGGCTTTTGGGGACACACGTCCTCGGGACTCTCGTTCTGTCCGCTCCTCTCTGGCCTTCTGTCTGTCGATGTTCACGGTGACTGTGACTTTGTCTAACTCTTTGCCAAACTCATTCATTTTTTGTCCCCCGCTTCCTTTTCTTTTTCCTTTCTATTTTTTTTTTTTTGATCAATCGATATCGTATTTGGTTGGCAACTATGTGATTGCGGATATTGTCATTAGGTGATAATGACAATATCGGCAATCACATAGTTGCTAACTTAATATTTCGCAGAATTTTCAGCGTAGACGATCGAAAGAACGTTCGTTTTGAAATAAAGAAAATTGAATAATATATTTGACGAAGATTATAGTTATAATGGCGATGTCTATGTATTTATGGAAAATTTAGTAGAATAAAAGTAAATTAAAACGAGGAAGGGTTACATGTTCGTTCGATAAAAAATTATCAATTCATTGTTGAAAAAGGTATTGTTATTAAAAACTTAAAAATTGCTAAAATATAATAAAGTTATATTAATATAAACAAGAAAGATTGGAGAAAAATAATTTAAGAAATTAAATTGATTTCAGTGTGGTATTTTCAGTAAGTGTTATTTTCCGTGTCACAGAAAATAACACTTTGCAGGTTAAGTACTAGTAACGTGACGTGGATTTTCTTTCGATGGTGTAGCTGGTATAAAACACAAAACAATTCGAGGAATAGCCGATATACGTATCAAATAATCAAACTATTTTTTATAAAACAAACAGTAAGTTTACTGAAAGTATAAAGAAAACATAACACTAAAAATCACTAATATTACCTTTTTGCTCTAAAATTTAGAGTTTTTATAGTAAATGCTAACCTTTCATTTCACACGACGAGTATACACGTCATCCGCACCGAAGTCAAGTTTTGGATTGTCGCGTATACACGTCGAACGCAGTTAACATGGTTAAATAACTAGAAATGTATAGAACGCACGTAATATGTGTGAATGTACAAACACGTAAAGTATCTGGTTTGTAATATTTGGAATATGAAATCTGTATTTACATTCCATTTCTTTAATTGCATTTTTACAAATCAGAATTTACATAAATATAAGTTTAGTTAGAATATATTTAGATATTAGCGTTCAATCTCAAAATAACTTTGTTGTGTGTTTCACTTTTGGAAGGAAGTCTCTAATAATAACGAAGTCCATTCTATAAAAGTTTGTTGAGAATTGTGGATCTTAATCGCCGAAATAAATGTATAAGAACACTTAGATTACATTTGGAATTGATATCAAAATAGTTTCAGATTTATTTAATATGCGATTGACAAGATCTTCGACGATATACATGTGCACGCGTCTCAGCACTGCTCTCTGTCCCACCATCTTTTATACTGGAACTACTAACGGAACAGTTGCATTCATCTGCTTTACCTGACGCTGTGTACGTACGTGCTTCACACACTCGTACTCATATGTGTTAAACCCGGCTAATCTAACCTAGTACACAAAAGAACACATATCTCATTAAAGTTACTATTGCTTTTTCAGGTACAATTGTTAATAAGCGTATCATACCATTGAAATTGAAAATTGCACGGGTTTAAGATATGCGTGAAATATTCTTTCTGAATGTTTGTTACGAATCAGATAGACTTGTTTGGACATAATTTATGGCATCACCATTTATTGTAAGTGACCCTTATCTATCCCAACATAGATTATTATCTCTCTTTGAGAGTTTACACGATTGTTTCATCGTATCCCCTCCTCATACCTGACATAAATTAACTCATTGAAATTACTTGCCTACGTGAAAGCCCTGTTTATCCCCAATGTTCTTTCTTGCTTAGCTTTTAAGTTTTCCACCAATTTGTACCTTCCTTATAATATGTCTAATGATGAAAGTTTCGTTCATGCCTACATTGAGAAGTCACGTAGGTAGCTTTCGACTAACAGTTCGACACATCAATGTATTTTCATTTTCGATTATTCAGTCGACTCGAATTCCACGCATTACTCAATTATAATTAATATAAATATTGTAATCAAAATTATATTATTTCTCAGGTAAGTATAGGTATTGTTTTGAACGATTTTAATATTATTATGTACACGTCATTTCAAATCTAACACTTAGAAACTTGCAAGTCGAGGTATTAGATTCTACGCGAAAAAAGAAGTGGAAAATGTAGAATAACATTTTTTTTTCATTTTTCCATCGAGACAACGATCTACAGTGAGATCCGTTCCAACGAGACGCGATAAAGTGCAGGCGTACCGACCGAAAATTCAAAGTCGATTTTCTCGAAAACGAAGCCTCAAACGAAAAATTCGTATTCTATATTTTCGACTTATTTTCGAAGCCTCAAACGAAAAATTTGTATTCTATATTTTCGACTTCTTTTTTCGCCTAGAATCACCCCCCTTCCGCTTGTACCGCCAATATAAAACAGAAATTGTTCTTCGTCTATTATCACCTTATTAACACTAGGTTTACGAGTGTTTCGTATATGCCTATCTCTACGAACACTCGTCAAATTGGCGGATAAACGAAAATACGCATTTTTCTTTAAAAAATCGATTTATTCAAATTAAGCCCGAAAGGAACAATATTAGGCTTCGCGTTTAAATAAATTAAATTATTTATTTCTGTATTTTCTGAAATATGGAACAGGTTTAGAAGCAATAGCCAGGCTTGTTATAAGCCACATGAAAATATTTCAATTATTTCCAACGAAAGCCTGGTGCAGATTTACACAATGCCGAATACACCCCATAAATTTGGGAATAAGATTTTTCTTAACAATTGACGTTCGAACAAAATACATTTTGAAGAGTTTCCCCTATTGGAGAAAGATGAAGCTCGATGCCCACTACCGGTCAGAGATTCTAATACTAAAATTAAACGAACCATATTTACAAAGAGACAGAACTATAACAATAGACAATATATTACAAGCATCCCGTTAGCGCAGAAGACAACTTTGGTTGGGAGCATCCGGTCCATAAAAGATAAGGATTTCAAAAGGAAGAGGATTTTAAAAGAGGAGGAAAAGAGGACAATATCACTTTTGTTTTCCTCAGGTTTATATTTATAAATCAAAAAACTGCACACCTACTGTGTATAAAAGTAAACCTAAAGTAAAAGACCTCCTTCTGAGCACCAAACGTACAGGTTTACAAATAGAAGACAATTATCCTTCAAGTCGTTCTTCAATATTTTCGATTTGGCAGCGATAAACGCGTGGATATTACGCGAAGAGTGCACCAGAGTGCTGACGAAGGTAATCTCTGTTTTGTAAAACGATGGCTAATTCAAAGGAAGGATCGTTACGCGCCCTAAATTCTAATGTTAATCTGACACAATTCTATGTTAATTCTAACGTTAATTGGTAAGCCGTGTTGGTGAATTTTGACAAGACTCGAGATGCATTGCAAGTAACCGTCACTTGTCGTAACAATACCATTGAAAAAACTATTCGAAGCAAGTTCCACACGGCTGGAAATTGGGAAATAGAAGAAGCGGAAGAAGAGAAAGTAGCGAATCGAACAGGACGGGACGTAGAAATTGATGGGCATTTGCGAGAGCGAGTACGATGGCCGCGTTGTAGCGTGGCATATTCGCGTATGCGTAACGAAAAACGGTCACCGTTTCCATATGACGGGCCGTCAATGACAGTAGCCTGTAATCAATAACCGCATCAAGCTTACACACATTGCTCCACACGTTTCTCCCAGAACCCAGAACCATTCTACGCGCCCCTCCTCCCATCTTCTTTCGTTTCGTTCCCCTATCGGCGTATTTAATATGCAATAGCCCATTTACCCCATTGAATACCCCGCCAGATCCACTCGAGGGACGCCTTGCGACCCACATTTCTCCGATCCTACGCCCCCACCCTCCTTTCACCTAAACTCGTACGAACTTCCGTCTAAGATTGCTACTCTGCGGAAGAAATTAGGGACAGAACGTATGAAGCAACTTGTGATCACTTTGTTACATTGATTAGGGTACGAAGAACGTTCAGGTCGGGTGGATTTCAGTTTTATTAACACTTTGACTGCCACGTGGGTCATATATGGCCACGGTGGTCATTGGTGACCGGAGCGCTTGAGCTTCTTACGATTGTAAAAACTGAATGAAAATTGACAGTTAGGGCATTTTCAATATAACCGATAAATAAAAGATACTTTGAAACAAAAAGTGAACCATTGAACAATTAAACATTTTTATTAGAACATCGATAAACAGAAAATGGGAACAAATCTTGCATCTAACTGTGCACTGTGTTTGCGTCCATATCTTTGAGGAGTAATCTACTAATATTATTATAAACACAACTTAGAAAATAATTGTGAATGCTGCTTTATAATCACATAATTGAGGTTAGAAGTGTGAACATACCTCACTGTTATATATAGAACGAGCAAATACTCTTTACTAATATCTCTACACGTTTCAACAATATAATCTACACGTTTTGCTTACGACGAAACAATGCGAATGGTTTGTTGAAATAAATGAAGCCTTGTTGTAAATAGAAGATAACCTATAAATAGAAGAAATAAAAAGTGCCCCACTGAACAATTAAACATTTTTATTACAACATCAATAAAAAGAAAATGGGAACAAATCTTGCATCTAACTGTGCACTGTGTTTGCATCCATATCATTGAAGGCTAATCTACGAATGTTATTATAAACACACCTTAGAAAATAATCGTGAATGCTGCTTTATAATCATATAATTGAGGTTAGAAGTGTGAACATACCTCACTGTTATATATAGAACGAGCAAATACTGTTTACTAATATCTCTACACGTTTCAACAATATATTCTACACGTTTTGCTTGCGACGAAACAACGAATGCGAATGTTTTGTTGAAATAAACCAAGCCTTGTTATAATATGTCGCTATAAACTGTTCCGCGTGGCAGTCAAAGTGTTAAACGAAACGATGCAACTCTACTCTTCTGTCTGATCTCTCTGTATGAATTTCGACGCGTAAGGTTCCTAACCACAGAGAAATTACAGATAGAACTTGTGATCGTCTTGTGCGATTAATTGCGCTATGAATTGATGGTTAGGTTGGCGAAATGGAATTCTGGAAAGTGACATAGTCGTCGCTGAACGGGTACCTTTGAATAAACATTTATTTGGAGAAGTTTGACAATTACAGAAATGCCACTATACTAATTATTCAAATACCTTCGAGTCCCTCTCATTATATTTATTTATATTGCGAATATCACGCCTGCCCGAAGATTATAGATGTAACAATAAACAGTAATTCAAACTATGGTTTTTCCAACAATTCAGGCACCTTCGATATCCCAACTGTAGGGAAGATACCAATGCCAAACAAACCTTTCGTGCGGAAACACTGGCTAAACTGAATTATACAAGCCATTGCAATTAATTAGCCTTAATAAGAATTATAGGAAGAATGGCAATTATAAGAGACGTTAGCTGTACGGACCAAGGGTGTAAGTTTCTTCCTGCTCCCTGCAGCAAAAGAAGAAAGAAAAGGAAAGAAAAAAGAAACAGAAGATATCGCTTGATTCCATCGGGAGAGAGGGGCTTGATTCCACGGGCAACGTTGGCAGGCAGTTTGTGGATAACCGAAAGAGGAGCAGCGCCACTGGTGCGGCTACAGGCAGGCAAAATGCTCGCGACGAGGATGGAAGCCAGAAGCGTGAAGAAGAGAACGAGAAAGAAGGAGGATGAGTCCAGTCGCCGGTGGCGTGGAAGAAAACAGAGTCACGAGATGCTGGAGCTGTCCTCCAGATGGGGGTGAATCGGAGGAACGGGGTAGTCGGTGCTGGATAAAACCGGGAAATTGTGGGTGGTGGGTGTGGAACGAGGAGCCGTGGAACCGATGGACAAAACGAGGCTGGAACGGCTCTTACAGTGAAACAGAGATAGAAAGAAGAGAAAGATGGGTACAAGAAGAGGGGTGAATCGCTCTAGAACGGAAAAGGGGAGGTTGGTCGGCGATGCGGCTGGAAGAGGGTGAGAGGAGGATCGAGAGGGGTGCCGGCACGCGGATCCTCCCGGAGCACCGCGCAATCCCGGGGGCCGCTTTAAATGAGTCAGCGTTTTTATGCCTCGCGATGTTGTCAAAGCGCAAACAGCACCCGATAATATATCATCCGTTGAGCAAGCAACCCCCTTCAACCCTCGAGACACGGCCCCTTCTATGCGCCGCGAAAGCGGTTCACGGGTCTAGAACTCGATGGAAGCAGAGTCCTGCAAAGGACTGTTATGTTTGTACAACCTGTAATAATGAAGTTTGATAAGGGTTACACAGGGGATGAGCGCGCCAAGTGCAACCAGGTGACTGTGATACGCGAATCTGCCGCGGATGAAATACGACGGCACCGCTGGTGGTTGAATGGTTGACGTGATAATATGCGACCTCCGGTCACACAGCGGTAAGAGAGTTGTGATTAAGAGAACATTTTTTACGCAATATCTAAATGAATTAAATAATTTTGTGGAACTATGAAACTGGTTAAAATACAGGGTTCTGTATTTCTTGTCTCTTACTCTTCTTAAAAATGTACATGTGCTGTTTGTAAAATTAATATCTTTAAGAGAGAAACATGGTTATATTTGTCTGTATCAATTTCATTATAATCATTTATGTGTACTCTTGTATTCATATCTTTTGTAATATGTTGAGGTTAACTGATGGAAGAACCAGTGGATGCATTTGTAATAGAAAAATATATTGAAATAAGTATAGGCACAGGTACATTGTATGAGGTCAAAATTAAATAAATTGTTATAATTATTTGACATCGACGCGCGCTAAACAGACCAGACTGATGCTCGTAAACAGAAACTAACATTCGGTCACGATCGTAACGGGCAAAAAAACAGTCCGCGAGCTCGGCTTGTTATGTTTACGTTTAGCCCAAGTATCTGGTCGCGAGACAGACTCGCGATATTTATGTTTGGGCCAAAATATCCATCGCGATTCTAACTCGTTAAAGTACAAGAAGGTGTTAATTTAATGTGTAATATTATTGAGGTTGATTGATAGAGAAACCAGTGGATGCATTTGTAATAGAAAAATATATTGTAATATGTACAAGTACAGACATAGTGTACCAGGTAAAAAACAAATAAATTGTTATCATTATTTATTAATTTAATACATGATATTGTTGAGGCTAACTGATAGAGAACCAGTGGATGCATTTCTAATAGAAACATATATTAAAATAAGTATAGGTACAGGTACAGTGTATGAGGTCAAAATCAAATAAATTGTTATCATTATTTATTAATTTAATACATGAAATTGTTGAGGCTAACCGATAGAAAACCAGTGGATGCATTTGTAATAGAAAAGTATATTGAAATAAGTATAGGTATAAGTATAAGTTCAGATATAGTATATGAGGTCAAAATTAAATAAATTGTTATCATTATTTATTAATTTAATACATGATATTGTTGCGGTTAACTGATACAGAACCAGTGGATGCATTTGTAATAGAAAAATATATTGAAATATGTACAAGTACAGACATAGTGTATCAGGTCAAAATCAAATAAATTGTGATCATTATTTATTAATTTAATACATGATATTGTTGAGGCTAACTGATAGAGAACCAGTGGATGCATTTGTAATAGAAAAATATATTGAAATATGTACAAGTACAGACATAGTGTATCAGGTCAAAATCAAATAAATTGTGATCATTATTTATTAATTTAATGTGTGATATTGTTGAGGTTGACTGATAGAGGAACTAGTGGATGAATTTGTAATATAATATATAATAACATAGTATATGAGGTCAAAATAAAATAAATTGTTATCATTATTGATTAATTTAATACATGATATTGTTGAGACTAACTGATAGAGGAACCAGTGGATGAATTTGTAATAGAAAAATATATTAAATAAATATAAGAAATATGTAAAAGTACAAGTATAGTGTATGGTGATTCAGATCCTCACTGTGTGATAATACAATAAGAACATGATAGGGAGCACGTTTATTTATAGCAAAAGACATTACCAAAAAGTTAACCTTATGTTTTTAGCTAAAGGTTACAAGCAACATAAAACTGTTTATCAATTCCATTGTTCCTAGACCTTACAACCCAAAACATAATGTATATTCAAGGGCATAATAATATTTTCTCTCCTTATTTAAAATATTTCTACGCAATAGGGGTCTCCAGGACACGGATATACATAAATAAAGAAGTAGAGTTTTTCTTGAAGTAGTTGCTTCAACATAATACATTACACTGGTCACTGGTAACCAATATTTTCTAGGATGATTAAAATAAGATAAATTTCATGGAATAAACAGTATTTGATAATGTGAACGATTTAAATAATATTGTTAGAAAAAACGCGCAAAGACAATGTATTTTGAAAAAAGTAAACCTTATGGTGTAGTATACTTCAATCTATTGCAGGTTACAGGGCAAAATATATCAAACTTTTGTGACGTGTTAAAGGGTAATTATATGCAAACAAATAAACGAGATATCGCTGCAATTAACACATTCCAGCAGAAGACTGGAAAAAGATTAAAATTAAAGTTGAAGTTAAAGCTAACCTTCAAGTTAAAAGTTAAGATTAGAAAACAGAAAAATTATTCCAATGTAGTTGGTATGAAGGTTATGAATGTTACCCTGATTCATTTAGTTCTGTTCAGATGAAAAGATGCAGCACACTAACCGGGTTATTGTTTTACAACAGGATTGCTTGACTTCTTAGTTCCTTATAATCCCTTTTATTATTAGCAGGCATGGAGACAGAAATTACCATTTCTGTTGTCCCTTACAGTTTAGGGTCACCGATCTCATCATTAGCGCGTTACAGCCGAAATGATAGTAAAAGCAGATTTTGAAATGTGTATATCTATAGATGAAATTACCTAATAGCCTTAGCCTGCTTAGATCTTAGCGATTGAAGAAAGCTAGGTGTTGCGATGTCTGATTACGATAGCGATAAATTTCGTGAATAACCTTGGAATTGCCTATCTGCCATTTTGACCTGCGGATATTAGTGATGGTAGTGAAAATTTATCTCTTGTGCACTTCCTGTCTGCTTAATAAACAATTTCCCTGTAAACCGACTGATTGACCATCAAGTACCAAAGTAATCTTCCCGATCTTCCACAAATAATGCTCCAGTGTCTTATAAAAATGTTTCTCTCTTTTATTTTTTAACGTTTAGGATATGAAATTTATAACATTAAATTCAATTAACAAAATATTTATTATGTTCATAGAAAAATTTGAATTATTTGTATGTGTAGTAGAAGTATGTGTAGATGAATACACATAAAAATATGTGTATGTATGTATCATGAAGATTCATCATTTTTGTATTATGAGAATTTTTTCTTGTTGAAATAAAATTGGTATCCCGTTGGTACAAGTACAAAGAGGTTTGTCGAAGAATTTACGCGAAGGAATCGTCTACGGTGTCTCGTTGACGGCGTCGAGTCAGTTCCATTAAAACACGATACAAGTTGGCCGTGAAGAGCGACAGCCCACTGATTTTGTATTCAGCCAACTTCCGTTATAAAATTGCCAACTTTTTTGCGCGACGCTGAGACATGGGACAAGAAAGAGGCGAGAGGCGGGAAAGAAAAATGGTCGCGAGCGGACAGCAAAAATTCTACGAATGCAAAACTTTCGGTTCCGTGAACACGTTTCTTCCGATAGAGATGCAATGAAAAGAAATTAGAAAAAAATAAGAGTGTAAAAAAATAGCATTAAAAGTAAGAAAACTTATGAATTGATATCTCTTTTCACGTTACACTGTAATAATATAAGATATCCGATTTTTATTTTTAAATATCCGACAGATACCTTTACATACGTAAGATACCTTACATACGTAAAAGTTAAAATTTTAGGTTATCCGGAGAGTTTCTTTCGTTTCATAAGATGATAATAGATGAACAACAATTTCTCTTTTATATTATTTTATTAAATTTGGTGTAATTTAATTTCGTTCTATTTCTATTATTACGTTCGTGCATAATTCAATAAAATAACACTTTCCGGATAACCTAAAATAAACGCAGTTAAGTAAATGAGATATCGCTGCAATTAACACATTCCAGCAGAAGACTGCAAAAAGATTAAAATTAAAGTTGAAGTTAAAGCTAAACTTCAAGTTAAAAGTTAAGGTTAGAACATAGAAGAATTATTCCAATGCAATTGGTATAAAGACTTTAGAACATAAAATTGCCTTGGTGAATGTTACTCTGATTGAAGTTAAAGTTAAACTTCAAGTTAAAAGTTAAAATTAGAAAATAGAAGAATTATTTCAATGAAATTGGTATAAAGACTTTAGAACATAGAATTGCCTTGGTGAATGTTACTCTGATTGAAGTTAAAGCTAAACTTCAAGTTAAAAGTTAAAATTAGAAAATAGAAGAATTATTTCAATGCAATTGGTATAAAGACTTTAGAACATAGAATTGCCTTGGTGAATGTTACTCTGATTGAAGTTAAAGCTAAACTTCAAGTTAAAAGTTAAAATTAGAAAATAGAAGAATTATTTCAATGCAATTGGTATAAAGACTTTAGAACATAGAATTGCCTTGGTGAATGTTACTCTGATTGAAGTTAAAGCTAAACTTCAAGTTAAAAGTTAAAATTAGAAAATAGAAGAATTATTTCAATGAAATTGGTATAAAGACTTTAGAACATAGAATTGCCTTGGTGAATGTTACTCTGATTGAAGTTAAAGCTAAACTTCAAGTTAAAAGTTAAAATTAGAAAATAGAAGAATTATTTCAATGCAATTGGTATAAAGACTTTAGAACATAGAATTGCCTTGGTGAATGTTACTCTGATTGAAGTTAAAGCTAAACTTCAAGTTAAAAGTTAAAATTAGAAAATAGAAGAATTATTTCAATGAAATTGGTATAAAGACTTTAGAACATAGAATTGCCTTGGTGAATGTTACTCTGATTGAAGTTAAAGCTAAACTTCAAGTTAAAAGTTAAAATTAGAAAATAGAAGAATTATTTCAATGCAATTGGTATAAAGACTTTAGAACATAGAATTGCCTTGGTGAATGTTACTCTGATTGAAGTTAAAGCTAAACTTCAAGTTAAAAGTTAAAATTAGAAAACAGACAGATTATTCCAATGCAGTTGGTATAAAGACTTTAGAACATAGAATTGCCTTGGTGAATGTTACTCTGATTGAAGTTAAAGCTAAACTTCAAGTTAAAAGTTAAAATTAGAAAATAGAAGAATTATTTCAATGCAATTGGTATAAAGACTTTAGAACATAGAATTGCCTTGGTGAATGTTACTCTGATTGAAGTTAAAGCTAAACTTCAAGTTAAAAGTTAAAATTAGAAAACAGACAGATTATTCCAATGCAGTTGGTATAAAGACTTTAAAACATAGAATTGCCTTGGTGAATGTTACTCTGATTCATTTAATTCTGTTTTTTAATTACATTGAGAAGAATTTCTATGCCTACAATGGAATCCATTATGATTTATTTTTCCTTCTAATCTCTGAGGAAGATGCAACACACTGACTTTTTGGACAATCTAATATTGAGATCATCTGTGAAAAAGAAAATAATAAGTATGCAACAAGATGATCTACAGAAGGTTAGCAATATTTGTTGCAAAAAAAAAACAGATAAAAAATTGCTATAGCAAAAATTTCATACAGATTCTCTCTTACATTGTCAACATATCCCTTTCACAGTGTCTGTCTTTCAGGATGCAGATTTAAAACCATCGACCAAACCATCAAATATGGTGCTATAAGTTCCACATTCTACACGTTACCATACGCAACACGATTATTCATATTATCATTCATGTAATTTGTTATTTGTATTATTCATATAATATCAATTATTATTCATATTTCTATGAAAAGTTTAAAACATATATTCTTCGCATATGGTTGTCCATAAACTCTCTATAAGCAAATAGAATGAAAAATAATCATTTCTATTAAACTCTTCATTTTATTGCAGTGTGAAAGAATTAATTTCAAGAATTCGCAACGCGCTATAGATCTACATAAACATGGAGCAGCAAGAGTTCTCGAAGCTTCCTTAAAAGATGTCCTGAAAGTTGGAAAACTTGGGAAAGTCGATCGAAGGATGACAGAACGGTAAGAATCTGGAAAAGGGAGGAAGAACGAGAAGATAGTCGGAGGAAGACGAGAAAGGGGATGGAAGATGGACGGGACGAGGGTGACTATGACGCGAGACGTCAACCGAGCTGACGGGGTAGCTTTTCCCGCGCGATACCAACCGGCGACGACGAGGACGGAGGGAAAGTCAGAATAACTTGGTAAACTTTAACCTCCAGAGTATAAAAGTGGGATGCCTTCTTTTCTATCTGCTCGCGAGGATCTTGGTATCCGGCCTCCACGTTTACGGCTCGCTTCGATCTCCCCATTGCCTCGTCGATAAAAACGCGTCATATCCGTGACCGCTTCTTGCGTTCGACCTCGAGTCCTCGCAAACAATCGGTTCCTCCGCGTCTACCAAAACGTGAAAGCTACTCTTTCCTGCTTCACCTCCATTGATATCGAATCGCTCTTCGTTAAGAGAGATCGCCAGGGAATTGTTGTTCTTGCTTGTTTAAAAAAATCTATCCACCGTTTCAAAATGATTAGCAACATCTTGCTTACGTGTTTTTAATGATTGCAAAACAATATCTATAGATTCCAGCTTAAATATATTGTCTTCTTTAACCATACATGGGCACAGTGGGATTATTCTTCTCTTCATACTATAATAGAAATTTGCAAATCAACATTTATATTCTCAGAGCTATCTATAATCATCATAATCATGCTTCCAATGTATCCAAATCATCCATTTATTCTATTGGGTTGACAACTAAGTGATTGCGGATTTTGTCATTAAGAGGTATTGACAATCACTTAGTTGCCAAGTTAATAAATAGAAGAAATCAATAGAAGAGATGGCTTGGCTAAATTTCTTCGCTATTTATTCATCCTCCAAGTACTATACTTTGCATATTGTATATATTTTGGCATATTATATGCAGTCTTTGCATCTTTAAATGTTCCATAAGTGCATCCTTCCTTATTCTTCATCCTTTTACACTTCTGAAGCTTGTCTCACTCAAATGCAACACTTTAATTGCCCCCTAACAAAGTATTTTCAAATGGAGTACCAAGAGGTACAATTACCTTATTTAAATATTTATTAGCTTGGCAACTAAGTGATTGCGGATTTGTCAATACCATCTAATAACAAAATCCGCAATCACTTAGCTGCCAAGCTAATAAATAGAAGAAATCAATAGAAGAGATGGCCTGGCTAAATTTCTTCGCTATTTATTCATCCTCCAAGTACTATACTTTGCATATTGTACATATTTTGACATATTATACATTTTGGTATATATTTTGCATCTTTAAATGTTTCATAAGTGCATCTCTTGCTTATTCTTCATCCTTTTACACTTCTGAAGCTTGTCTCACTCAAATGCAACACTTTAATTGCCCCCTAACAAAATATTTTCAAATGGAGTACCAAGAGGTGCAATTACCTTATTTAAATATTTATTAGCTTGGCAACTAAGTGATTGCGGATTTGTCAATACCATCTAATAACAAAATCCGCAATCACTTAGTTGCCAAGTTAATAAATAGAAGAAATCACTAGAAGAGATGGCTTGGCTAAATTTCTTCGCTATTTATTCATCCTCCAAGTACTATACTTTGCATATTGTACATATTTTGACATATTATATGCAGTCTTTGCATCCCTGCATCTTTAAATGTTTCATAAGTGCATCTCTTGCTTATTCTTCATCCTTTTACACTTCTGAAGCTTGTCTCACTCAAATGCAACACTTTAATTGCCCCCTAACAAAATATTTTCAAATGGAGTACCAAGAGGTTCAATTACCTTATTCAAATATTTATTAGCTTGGTAACTAAGTGATTGCGGATTTGTCAAATACCACCTAATGACAAAGTCCGCAATCACTTAGTTGCCAAGGCAATAAAACTATCGCTATTCGAACCATCCATTCAACCACTCGCCATACTAATCTCCATTTCTATTCTTAGTTCCCCGAATTACAATCTCAATCACGAGCATAATTCCAGTGCACGAAATATCCCGGGCATATTCTAGGGAGCAACGAAGCACCGTGTAACTTGTCCAGGCGATAGAACGAGAGGGTGGAACAGGAAGAGGGGGATGAAGAGTTTGGCGTTAGAATACGACCAGATAGCAGAGAAGGAGCGCGTGCATAGGTATAGAGAAACGGGTGTATAAGGCGACGAAGCCGCGGCACAGCGAAGGAGAACAGGAAGAAGGATGAAGAGGGTGGCGAAGAGAGAAAGAGAGAGACACGAGGGTTGGTCGAGCACTGGCAGGGCTGAGCTTTCCCAACCCTTAGCAACGCTCTCGCGACGCGCTATCCTGCGGATAACATCAGCAGCTTCAGGCCAGGAAATGAAAATCGCGCCGACACTGTTTAATTTAGATAAAAGCATATGTTACACGACGAGCCGCACAGAAAGGGGCTGAGTGGTTGCTCTGACCAGGCGCATCTTTCCACGAGGTGCTTTGTGGCTTACCGTGAACAGAATTCTTTTGCTCTGCTGTTAGGATGATTCCTGGAATTTCTGTGCTGCTGTGTGTTATGAACGTATTGTAAAATACATTATACAAGAATGAATTACTTGTCACGTGTTATCGACTGATTAGTTGTTAAATGACAAGTAATTGACTAGCATGTAATCAATCGTCGATGTTCAGCAATGAAATTGCATTAAAATATGAAGAGAAAAAGTTTTGGAAGAAATTCTGGTAAAAATTCTTGTAAAGCAAACTTTAAACAATAATATATTGTGCATAAACTTTATATTTATATAAAGGTTATTTATATAAATTTATATAAATTATATAAACAATAATATATTGTACATAATCTTTATATAAATATAAAGTTTATGTACAATATAACCTTTATATAAATATAAAGTTTATGTACAACATGTTATTGTACATAACCTTTACCAATGATAAATCCATTCAGTAAATTGAATCCAATTAAGATGATCTCTTAAATTTATTCATTTTTACAGATATTTATAAACGCTCGTTTGCAACACATTCATAACGAAACCCACGTCTTACTCCTGTTTATTGTACTATTCACTTTACTTCTGTGAAGTTCCTGTCTATAGCCCTCCATAAATCCCCATAAATCAAATGTTCTTCTTGACATCATACAACAGCCAGTTGGACTGCAACGGTCAAATATTTAGACAAGACTATGGCAGGTATAAATTTAGATGAAAAATTCACCATTTAACACAAATGTAGTATAACAGTAACAGGTGATACTATTATTAGAATGTCTTAGTCCATAGCAATGAAATTAAGCTCTTTTGAATTTGCCTGTTCTTAAAAACCAGAAATCCGAGGAAAGTGGCAGAATTGGACTGAGACAGATGGTAATTCGGTTGTAATTACTTTTCTATACCAGAGATAATCCTTTGATGACCCCTATTTCGCGGCGGCTCATACCACGCGAGCATTCTTCGTATCCCGGTTTCCCCATTTTCGTCGCCCCGACTAGCCCCGGCTGAAAGCAATCCACCGTCAGACCCTGTCAAACTTCTAGATTACATTATACAAAAGCAGAGGCACGACTCGTCGATCTGGAAATCCGACCGCCGGGAATATTCGCCGTCATTTGGGAGCAACCCTCTGGCCGAAATTGCCGCTGATTTAATATTTATCGAGGGACGTATTTACTCGGAATTTTATTGTTTTTCAATTGCCAAATAAGTAACTTTTTACAGCGATAATCGAGAGCAATGGAATTCGCCTAATTTTTCAATATTTTTCTTCCTGTAATTTGACATCCGTATTTCTGTATTACGTTGTCCGAACAGTGTCTTTCTTTTACGGGCACGTTTTTTACAACGATACCTTTATACAAACATGAAACCTAATCGGTCAAACGTTGTGTTTATTTTTTTAGAACTATTGAGATATTTATAGTATTATGTGCTAGGCTAGGTTAGCTGCGTAGTAGCGATACTTGTATGTGAATATCAGTGTGTGGAAGTATATATATATCCGCGACATTTCGGAGAGACAAAGGAATGTAAACTGTTCAGTTAACGGTCTGGTATGGAAGAAGATATGACGCGTGCCAGTGTGTATCGATGAATATCTTTGAAATCGTTTATCAAATAAATATATAACTATTCTAATATAAATTCTAAGTATAAATATAGTGTTCCTATACCATTATTCCGGCTATTAAGATGCAAAATTCTCCAAAATGAATCATACGTAATTCGATGAAATAATATAAAACGAAAAATGTCGTGCGTCCATTATTTCCTTATAAAACGAACGAAACTTTCTGCACGACCTAATATTCGAAGAGTAGTAAGACTAAAAGTATTGTTTTTTTTTTAATGGAAATTATATTATTTAGATTCTAGAAGATTTCGTTATGAATTTTCAAGTCTTTATAAGAATATATATTAAAGTATTTTAAGTATGTTACACCACGTCATTGCGATAGTGTAACAGTAAGCAACATCGTGCTATCGATACAACCAGTGCATTTTTAGTTTTCGTGTGTTTCAAGAAATCCCATCGGGCAATTGAACAAAATGGCGGAGAAGAATCGTTAGAATAATCATCGCTGTTCAAAGTAACAGCATTTCTGATGACGACAATATGCAAATCCAGGGGTGAGACAGGTAAATACAGACGTATTATATTAGCATCGAATTAGTATTTAGTATAGTATTTAGAATAGTTTAAACAGATTAGAGATCCTTTCCATCTTTCGCAAACTTGTTCTTTACAACAAGTCTGTGAAATGTCGCGCTGTTTATCTCAAAAGAACAAAATGGATCGTACGTAGTTCGATAAAATAATATAAAACAAAAATCCTCGTGCGTCTATTATTTCCTCATAAGACGGAAGAAACTTCTCGAGTAACCTAATAATTTGATTCCTAACATTTGCATAAAAGTAATTGGAATAAAGAAAATTATATGAAAAATATATAACGCAAGGAGAAAAGTAAACCTGCGTTATTGTCGTACGAAAAATCTATCAGTTCTTGTGAATGTACCGTTGAAAATCTGTCTAACTGATATGCAAAATTACAAATTAGTCATTTGAATTATATTACTGTTAATGAAATTATATCGCAATTCAGGGGAGAAGTGATACGAGACTGAGAGACTATTCATTCATGATAATAATGAGTTTTCTGATTGTTCAAAATTGTGAAATATTATACACATGCAAGCTTATATGACGTCAGTCGTACGTTCCATGGAAAGAAACGTGTTTCTAGCATCATCAGTGCAGCATCAGTAAAAGGTTATCGAGGTTGTAAAGGTTGTCTGGAATAGTTGGTATCGGTACATCTTCCATGTCATATTTTACGAATACCTGTGCACAATTATCTAATGGAAACCAAGCTTGATAAACATCAGTCATATAATTATCAACCTTAACGTACTCTTCGTCTTCTCATTAGGCACTAGCAAAATGAAACGTACAAGCGGTGCACTTGATCTTTTGAGCATCCATCGATAGCTTAAGTATCTTGCGATAAGTATTTCGCAAGCATAAACGTAGTATCGACGAAGAAATACCTTGCAGGAATATTTTTCAACACGATAACAAAATGAAAGATAACAAAATATATTCGATTTTTATGCAGACCCGGTATATGAATGAGTCAGCAAAACAGGCATAATATTGCCTAAAGTTAGGTTAAATTTCGTAAACATAAGCGTAGTATCGGCGAAGAAATACCTTGCAGGAATATTTTTCAAAGCGATATGAAAATTAACAAAATATATTCGATTTTTATGCAGACCCGGTATATGAATATGTTAGCAAAACAGGCATAATATTTCCTAAAGTTAGGTTAAATTTCGTAAACATAAGCATAGTATCGAAGAAGAAATACCTTGCAGGAATATTTTTCAACATAATATGAAAATTAACAAAATATATTCGATTTTTATGCAGACCCGGTATATGAATATGTTAGCAAAACAGGCATAATATTTCCTAAAGTTAGGTTAAATTTCGTAAACATAAGCATAGTATCGAAGAAGAAATACCTTGCAGGAATATTTTTCAACATAATATGAAAATTAACAAAATATATTCGATTTTTATGCAGACCCGGTATATGAATATGTTAGCAAAACAGGCATAATATTTCCTAAAGTTAGGTTAAATTTCGTAAACATAAGCGTAGTATCGGCGAAGAAATACCTTGCAGGAATATTTTTCAAAGCGATATGAAAATTAACAAAATATATTCGATTTTTATGCAGACCCGGTATATGAATATGTTAGCAAAACAGGCATAATATTTCCTAAAGTTAGGTTAAATTTCGTAAACATAAGCATAGTATCGAAGAAGAAATACCTTGCAGGAATATTTTTCAACATAATATGAAAATTAACAAAATATATTCGATTTTTATGCAGACCCGGTATATGAATATGTTAGCAAAACAGGCATAATATTTCCTAAAGTTAGGTTAAATTTCGTAAACATAAGCGTAGCATCGACGAAGAAATATCTTGCAGGAATATTTTCCAACACGACATGAAAGTTAACAAAATACATTCGACTTTTAATTAAAGATAGTTTTTCATAAAAGAATATTATTGGTATTAAGAAATGATTAATCTCAATTTTTGTATTCGGGTCATTCACCTGCTACCGTATTATTTTTCTTCGATGCAAGTGTGCCGACCTTTGTGGGATTATCTACCTGCATGCCAATATGACTTCTAAAAATCGATTACTTTTAATACCTCAATTGCGTCCAATATACCACTACTTGCAAAAGACTATTTCAAAATAATATTTTCGCAAGATACATCGCAGTTAAACAGCAGATACCTTTGTATCTATAAGAAAAATTTGAAAATGCAAAAATCCACGGATCGTAGGAAATATGCAAAAATATATAAAATATGGAAAACGTGTTCGTATAGTATCTCGCGAATAAAGCAAATTTCCACGTTGGTGCTAATTTTTGAATTATGTTCAGAAAAGCATAAATTTGCATAAAACTCGGCAATTTACTCATTGCCTAAAATCAACCGACATTTTCGTTTACCTTACAAAGTAAAAAAATACCCAAGTCGAACACTGAGGAATCTTCAGACGACGATCGATCGATCGATCGATGGATCACAAGCTCGACGCTAGGCTGCGCACGGGACAGAAGTGCGCCAATATTAGCCTACATTTCACCGTAAATCGAGGCTGGCGTAATCGCAGACCGATCGACACGAAGGATTTTCCGTGCTAATCTGCGCCGCGGAGGGGAAGTTAAAACGCCATAAATTACCGGGACGGTCTACGACGACTGCCATGGCAGACAAGTGCGATCCAACGAGGGATTAGAGCGTCGTCTTGATAAGGCGTTTACGTCCTTCGTGACTCTTACGTGGAACGACAACGACGACGAGCCTTTAACGTCCTCAACGAAAAGCCTTTTGACTTTTCCAGTCGCGTTTATTCCATCCTCCGATTCGTCGATGCAACTGAATAGAAAATTCTACTGTTTCACATTAACCAACATTGTGTAAAATCCGAAGGGCTAGTTTTCTTAAATGTGAAAATTGAGTGCCAATTGCATTTGGTTTTACGTATTGCGACTTATCTATAAAGATAGGAGGTTTATGGAAGGGATTTGAGGAAATCGGATGAAAAATGACGAAAGCATTGTTTTAGCTATGCCTGTCTTGTTAATATATTTGTAATTTGAAAATAATTTCAAGGCCATACATTCAGTTTTACATGTCAATATTCATTCCTTATATTATGTTTTACATTTTACAATTTGTCCCGTAGGACATTTGGTAAAATATTATAGCTTAGTGGTATAATAATATAACATGTGTATGGCTACCCCCCATGAGATACCATCTTCGAATTTGACTGATTTATTTCTTTAGTGTGATGAATGTTTGTATGTTAGGTTATGTCCTTTGTGAGATCTGTTGCGTGTTTCCTTTTTAATCTTCTATGCTATGTATATGATGTTTTAAGCGACACCAAGACGAATTGAAGATAACTTTGCAATGG